TATATATATATATATATAACTGTAATTGCTATAAAAATTATATAAATCGTTTACACCATCTTAATATAAGAGGGATGTTATAAAACATGTTAATTATGTTTTGAGAATATAAAAACTAAATCTTGATGTTGATATGTGTTAGGATGAAATTACTARATAAAGATGCATTTGACTAATTCTSAYATAAAAAATGTTGTAAACAATTAAAGATGGTTTCAGTCGCATCATGTTGTACGCCCTRTTGTGGTCCCTATGAAGAGTATCAAAATAAACTACAATCACTCACATGATCGAAAAGCCGATTTAACCAAGTAGTCTTCAGTTTAATCTCCAAAGATTCTCTTGTCAAATTTTGATCCATGGCCGTCAATGTAGCTGCCATTGCTACGGTAGATGAACGACGTCCCATTAAATTTGTATCTATAACGTATATTGAATCAAATAATCAAATAAACTCCATACAACAACTAAGATTCAAATCCATGGTAGAAACCAAGATTCAGGAACTTGCCTTTTATTGTAGCAAAAAGGATTTGTGTAGTTCGAGACACAAAATGTCTCTTTGAAGATTCTGTGCAGAAGCATGAAATAAAGCAACGGATGAAGTCAAAAGGAGTGATTGAATGCATCCTCCAATCCAACGTCGTCAATACCAGAAGCTCCATTCTCTGGATCACACTGCTGTCGAAGGTGTATTCATCGGTCGGAAACTCAGTCAATGCCGGAGCGTTGCTTTCTTCCATTTTTGCCGCCAACGACAAACAAGCCACCGATAGCAATCGGATCGCCCAATGCTTATCACTCTGTTTGCAAATAAAAAGTTACAAAAATATTCTCGATCGACAATGGATAGAAGGTTCTAGAAAATAAAACTTACATTGATAAGGCCTTTTGAAAGGAAACGGTCAATGTATGTTACTGACAAGTATGCGGTGCGGAATCGAAATCGGAGAAATGTTCTCGTCTGTGAATCAATCATCAATCAACATTAAATCAACAAAGTCTTAACGAAAATCGATCCTGATAATTAAATGCAACAAAAACATAGATAACGGATTAGGAAATAGTGAATCGAACGTTGATTATCCATTGGATTGCTTCCGATCGAGCGGATTTAATCCAATCGTTGACATGCGATTCAATGTGACTCCGATCTCTCTCTTTATCAAGTAACTTTTGAAGATATCCTTCGTCTTCAACCAACGATTCATATTCATTTACGTCATCTTCATCATCATCTTCTGCTAATTCAGTCTCCGTTTGTAAAGAGAGAAATCCAGAGAGAGAAAGCGTAGAGTGAGAACCTAAATCCGCCATAGGTTTTCGTACAACTTGCTTCTGTACCTCTCTCTTCAAAATCCAACAGAAATCTAGGATGAATAAAGCGATATCTTCAGCGATAGATACGGTTGATAATATTGTGTATTATTATCTTTAATAAACTGAAATTTGTTTGTGATAACAACCGCCGTGTGGTTATTGTCGGTAGCGTTACGGTGGAGGAGGTGACGGCTGGGATGGTGGCGGGTGGTTTTTTAATTCCGGTGGCAGAGTCAAAGAGTGGATTGAGCAGGTTTGACTAGAAATGCGTCGTGTGGTGAGTCTGGAACCGTGCCATGCTTCTTTTGGGTTTAATAACTACTGAGGCAGAGGGGGACTCTTTATGTCAATTATTTTGGTATTATTATTCATGGGTGCATGGATATACGTGAAATTAAATAATTACAAGAGTGAACAACATTTTTGGTGTCTAAGGTTTACACCAATATGTGAAAATGTTACTTAAATTTCAATAATTATAATTATTATCCCTATTGTTTACGATTTCTTTTAAAAATGGTCCCTCGTTTTTATTTTCGTTAATTTTTTTTCTGTTAAGTTAGGGTTTAGTCTTTTTTACACATTTTCTTTATTTTATATTAGGAATTAATAAAAATTAWTTTTTTAGTATATATACACACAAGCAAAACATGGTCAAAGCCGTCTTCTATCTCCATCAACCACCGACTTCGCTCATCTCCCCACCCACCTTCCATTTCCGTTTCTCCAGCAGCACCCTCTATCACCGACCAACATCGACACCCAAATCCACTCYGGTGGTCTTCTTCGACAGCACCCTCCATCACCGACCAACCCAAATTCACTCCAGTGGTCTCCTCCGGTGGCACCCTTCGTTACCGACCAACATTGAGACGCAACCTTTCTTCTCCAACCTTCCACTTCCTGTCAAACATTTCTTCTCCAATCTTCCACTTCCTGCCAAATCTTTYTTCTCCAACCTTCCACTTCCTGCCCAACCTTTCTTTTCAACATTTCWTCAAGACCATAGCTTTTTACCACTATGAGTTTCATCCAAACCCAACCTCTACACCTGCAACATACATACATAGACTCACACTGCCTATCTATGATTCATAGACATATACTTATATATACATAATGTATGCACATAGAGGCCAAAATGCATCACCGTCGATCTATGGGTGTGCATCCATGAACAACKATCACACATCGTGCATATATAAAAGTCACATACGCATACACTGTGCATATATAACACAAACACACAGATACTATGCATATATATGAAACCAACARATTATATCATGCAAACAACAATAAGAGAGATTACAAAGTATAAACCCTAGATCTATACAAATGATAGCTAAAACTTAGCTATGAAGAAAAAAATTATAAGGGAAGAACTTGTATCAGTATCTCAATTTCAATTCAAACTCTCTTGAGAAATAAAAATGAGAAAAAATGAATYGAGATATGAAAAGAACCGGCTAAGAAGAAGAATRAATATAAAAGATGAAATTGCAGAAATGGTCCTTAGAGAATACGTAATTATGCTCCGCTACCCTTCCACTTTTCCAAATAATGAGGCGCAGTCCTCCACTTTATATCAACAACTTTATACTTTTGACAGCTCCAACCCTTTAGGATAACAAAATATAACAAMAGTTAAGATTGTTAACAAAGTTAAAATCTTATCATATTTTARCACCCTCCCTCAATCTTTACTTTTGAATAAGTCAATCATTCTTAACTTTGAACACAAGTAGTTATGATGATTAATACTAAGAGATTTTGTAAAGATATTGGCAGGTTGTTCAGAAGAATTTTTTTTTTCAATCTTTAACAAACCTTTACTAATGTTTTCCCGAATTTGATATCAATTTCGATGTGTTTAGTGCGTTCATGAAAAACAGGGTTGTTARCAATTTGTATAGCAGATTTATGATCACAGTATAGAGAAACAAGTAGTAAACCCGAAATATTTAAATCTATGAGAATTTTTAGAACCCATAAAACCTCACAAGCAGTAGAGGTCATGGCTCTATATTCAGATTTTGTAGAAGAACGAGAAACAGTGCTTTGTTTCTCGCTTTTCCAAGAGATCATAGACTTTCCCAAGAACAAAAAAAAACCAGTTACTRAATGCCTAGAGGAAAGACACTTACTCCGATCGGCATCAACAAAAGCAGTTAAAGAATATTTTTCTGATCTAGTGAAGCTTACTTCTTTACCTGGAGATGATTTTATGTACCCGATAATTCTAAAAGCAAGTTTTCGATGTGATTGTCTAGGAGAATGCATAAATTGACTAAGACAGTGAACAACAAAAGCAATATCATGTCTAGTAGCAAGAAGTTAAATCAGTTTTCCAATTAATTTTTGATAACCACTATAATTGGACAAAGAAGAATCTTTGTTACTACTAGAATCGGTAACAATCATGTTCATATCCATGGGTGTATTACAAGGTTTACACCSTAAGTACCCAAATTCATTAAGCAATTATAGACAATATTTTCTTTGAGATATGCAAATTCCATTTACACAATCTAAAACTTCAAATACCTAAAAGGAACTTTAATTTTCCTAAATCTTTTATAAGAAACTTACTTTTTAAAAACARTTTTACCTTTTCTATTTCCCTAGTGGACTTATATTTWATCTTATAAATTCATTTACAACCTATAGAATTTCGGCCYTGAGGCAAGTCTGTTATGACCCACGTACCATTTCTATGTAAGGCTTCCATTTCATCATTCATAGCATTTATCCAATTTACATCAGTACATGCTTCTTGAAATTATTCTTGGTCCAACAGACTTGTTTAGACTAGATACAAAACAWARATTTTCAGATGAATGATAAGAATAATTAACGACCTTTTCCAAAMCATATTTAACCTTTCCTTCAACAAYAAAATCATCAAATTTTGTGGAAACACAGAGMCTCTAGTAGACCTTCTAGTAGACTGAGTAGRGGAAGAAGGTATACTAATAGTACCATCATAAATGAGACTTTCATCATTCTTTTGAGTCCTGTCAGCCACATCAGAACTACTCAAGAGATGCCATTTAGTAACTCTTTCAAGATTATTTTCAACATGGGTTGAAGAATCTTGGTTAACAAGGTYATTTGAGCTGCCTAGAGGCTCCTCATTGGCAGCTCTAGTTGGGCTACCTAGTAGACTACTGTTACTAGGGTGAATATTTTCACYAGTGGAATTGTCTCTATTTTCATCACTCGATGGTGATCCACAAAATCATTAGATGAACTATTCATAAAATTAAAAAAGTTTAATTTGCTAACATCATCATGATCARAATTTTCAATAAATTTCGTGGTCATCTTAAACGGAAATATATTTTCATAAAACTTGACATCCCAAGAAATAACATATTTCTTAGAAYCCAGACTAAAAAATTTGTATCATTTATTTGAACTAGCATACCCCAATGAAATACGTTTTTMAGATTTGGGAGAAAACTTATCTGTAATATTTGGTATGACARCAAAGCAAAGACACCCAAAATTTCTAAGATGAGAAAGAACAGGTTGAAATACGTAAACAAACTCATAGGGAGACTTACCATTTAGCACAAAAGAAAGAGTCCTATTTATTAAGTAAGTAGAAGTACGAATGCACTCACCCTACATGTTCAGAGAAACCCCTCCTTGAAACATAAGTGCCCTAGCAACAYTTAGCAAATGTCRATGTTTTCTTTCAACCACCCCATCTTGCTGGGGTGTATAAATGCAAGAGGTTTGATGCATAAGTCCTTTAGTTTTATAAAACTCACTTAATCTTTGACTCAAGAACTCAGAACCATTATCACTTCTGAAAATTTTAACATTTTTTTCCAAATTGGGTACTGAGCAAATTATAAAAGGTAATAATATTTTCTCTAACTTCATCTTTACCTTTTAATAAGAAAACCTAAACAACTCTAGTAAAATCATCAACTATTGTGAGGAAATAYTTGTAACAAGGTCCCCAAACATYCAAGTGAACAAGTTCACCTAGATCTTTGGACCTATGAATACTTGACTCAAACTTCTCCCGAATTTGTTTTGCCTTATGACATATTTCACAAGGACTAAAGTCTTYATTATCAATCTTAAGACAATMTTTATTTTTAAAACTTGGTCARCAGGGTGACCAAGTCGACTGTGCCATAACTGGGYAGAAGCTAAACAAGATACATTTGAACTTTGAAAAGTATGAAGATTACAAGTAGACTCACTGTTGAAGTTTTGATCAAAGTAATACAGACTCCCTTCTTGACTACCAGTCCCCACTACATTATTTCGTAGMGAATCCTGGACATAACATTTAGACTCATCAAACCCAACAAACACCTTGTTATCCCTAGCAAGTTTGTGAACAGACAACAAATTGATATTGAAATCTAGAACAACCAACACATCAAAAAAAGTAACATTATTTGACAACTTGAAATCCCCAATTTTGTTTATTTTAGCTTTAGTTCCATTAGGATGATTAACTCTGAGATCAAGTTCAGACACATSAACAATGTTACTAAGAAAACCCGTACTGTGAGTCATGTGTTGATTTGCACCAGAATCAATAATCCATCTAGACCTAAGATATTTGAAGTTACCTGCCATGGTAGCAACAGTACCTTCAGAAGAATGATTTTTCTTTATTAACCCAAGGATCTTGGCAATCTGATCTTCTATAAAGGGAAAAGAAGAATTGGAAGCAACTGTTTTAGTAGCATTTAACTCAGAAMTACAGACATTGTTGGATGTGTTTTTAAACAGTTGTCTTTTAGTTCTGGATCTAATTTGAAAACTATTTGGAAACCCTATGAGTTTAAAACACCTTTCTATGGTATGTCCATTGGAACCACAATGTTTACAAWCCAGAGAAGAAGCTCTACCCAAACGATGTTTAGTATTTGTGGTTTTACAAAGATATGCAATATTTTGTGGTTTAGATTTAGGCTGAGAAAAATTTCCCCCTCTGTGAGACTCTTCTCTTGAGATAAGAGAAA